TTGTGTTGCTCGTCGGTGCACTGGATAATCTTTTGTTTCAGTGTCCACTGTTTGTCCTGTCTCCTTTTACTGCCTAGAACGTCCATGCAGGTTTGACTCTACACTGCTTTCAGGTTGTCCCAGTGGTTTTCAATGCTGATCTCTTCTCTAGTGTTGATTTGTGTCTCGGCTTTTTCCCTTATGTTTGCAGTGAAGATGTCCTTTGTATCCTGGTCCTTCAGTTTTTGAGTATTGAACTTGGCTTGTGGTCTATCTGCAGCTCCTGTTTCTTTGAAAGCTTTTAATTTGATTTGGATAGTCCCTTGTACGAGATAGTGGTCTGAGTCAACATCTGCTCCTCTTCTTACTTTTGTGTCCAGTAGGCTGCGCCTCCACTTCCCTGAGCAGCATTGAGATGAAGTCGATTTGGTTTTTGGTTTGCCCGTCTGGTGACACCCATGTAGCCTTGTGGATATCTTTGTGCTTGTATACACTGCCACCAATCACTAGTTCGTTGAAGGCGCAGAAGTCGGCGAAGAGTTCTCCGTTTTCATTCATTTCCCCGAGAGCTTCTCTACCCATGATGAGTTCCCTTCCTGTATTGTCTGGTCCCAGTTTGGCGTTCGTGTCTCCCATTAGTATTTTCATGTCGCCAGCTGGAGCATTGTCCATTGTTGCCTGTAGTTGTCTGCAGAATTCTTCTTTCTTTTCGAAGTCTGCGTTGTTTGTGGGTGCATAACATTGTATGATTGACACTTTCCTTCCTTTGGAGTTGAATCTGGCGGTCATTATCCTGGACGAAATCGCCTCCCATTGCATAAGGGCTTTCGTTGCCGTTGGTGACATCATGATAGCCACGCCCTCGGTGTGCGTGTGGTTATATTATTATTATTCCCTTGCATTCCGAGTGAAATATAGGGCTTCTCCAACACATCTCCAGTATGTTCCGTTTCCTGAAGTCCCCTTCAGCTGGGTCCAGGATTGGCCAAACTCTCTCACCTCTTCCTCACACGATCTCCTCCATGCCACCCTCACACCGACGACCCACTCGTCGTTTCCCATTTGCATTCCAGTCAACGGCCTGGCGTGAGATGTCATTCGGCAACCTCCTCAATGCACGCCCGATCCATCTCCACGTTCTCTTACATATATGTTGAACGATCGGCTCTCGATTCTTGGTTGGTTCCCATAGTTTCTTGCTGCATATTCTCTCCGGCTGATTGAACTTCAGTAGGAGGCGAAGGCAGTTGTCGTTGAAAGTCTGCAATGGCTTGTTTGAAATGCCTTTCGTGACACACAGTGCAAGTTTCTGACCCATATAGAAGAAGTGACTGACTGACTTCACATTTGTGTTGAACAGAATCCGAATCCTGTTGTTTATACTGGCTGAGTGAGTGCAGAAGATTTCGAAACTGGTTTCAGGTTGATGGTGTGTCTTGCCTTTCCGACTGTGGCTGTCTGACTGGCTTTGACATCTTCATCCGATCACCTAACCTGTAGTTGAAACGATGTTGACTTTGTGGACAAGGGAAGGAAGTGACGGCTTTCAAATTTATTCTGTTGATAGTGACTGGTGCTGATTGTTGTTGCTGTTAGTTGGTTGGTTGGTTGGTTGGTTATCCGCATCACCTCCGTGCATCTCTGTGTTCACCTGCAGTCCTGATTTCGCTACTCGCCTCTTCAGCCAGCTTGTTGGTTCTCGTCTGCTTACAAGTCTTCGAGTTTGTGTGACATCAGTCATAAATCATTCAGACACGAAATCCAGATCTCCTAGAGTCTCCTCATCGGTCGTCCAGCGTATTCCTGTCGTCTCGCTCACCACATACAATCTGCCGCCTAATCCAGTCAGTTCACCACAGCTGGGAATATCATCGGTGATAATAGTCAGGCATCAGCCAACCAGCCAGACTTGTCTTACTCCTGTATTCACTTCGAACGCCTCGCTGGGTTTTCCGTTGCGGATCACCAGACACACTGCATTGTCATATACCCATAGGTTGAATGAGGCTGATACAGATTTGGTCACAGCGCGCTATAGTGCTGAAATAGTTTCCAAACTACTTCTCGATCAACACTGTCTGTCGACGGCCTTTTCGAAGGCAATGAAGTTGAGATAGATAGATAGATAGATTTCACTGTCATTCTATGCTTTGTTCTGTGACGACGATGTGTATAGTTGCAATTCGATGAGAACATTATTTGCCTTGCCTGAATCCAGCTTATTCTGGTGGTGGGGCGGAGTTTTGCATCCAGTGCATATTTTATTCTCTGCAAGATGATTCGACTTCGTATTTCACTTGGCATGGATAAGAGCGTGATTCGGCGCCAGTTTTTTCAGAAGCTCTTCTTTGTTATCTTGACAAGGTAGCCTTTCTTTCAATCGGTGGGCACCTTTCCTTCCTTCTACATGGTTTGCGATAGTGGTGTGAGCATATCCACTCGGGTCTCTGGGTTCGTCTTCAATGCTGCAGGGGATTTCCGTCCGGTCCTGCTGCCTTCTCGGACGTCAGTGGCTTGATTGCATTCAAGACCTCTGCTTTCGTTGAGGGATTGTTGTCGACTGACAGGCATATCCGTGTGTGCTGTTGGTGGTATTTCGGGACAAGCTGCCAGTGGTGGTCGATTCAAGAGCCCTTTGAAGTGATCAATCAACCCACTGTTCTATTTGCCTCTAGTCTTTCGTAATGAAGTTCCCCTAACCAGCTCTTATGGCTTTCGGCATCTGGGTTGATCTCTTCCAGGATGGAGACCTGGTTATCTGATATAGTGTTCTGGAGTCGCTTCCGCCTGCAGCCTGTTCTGCTTCAGTTGCTAGCCAGTGTGTTGTAAGATTTTGTTTTGTCTTTCCTAGCCGTCTTCTTTAATTTTATGTTCATAGCTTTGTAGACTGAACTCAGCTTCTCCTTCTCTTGTCCATCTTTGCATCGGTTCACCTTCTGTTTCGCCATTCTCGTCTGCTCTCTTCTGTTACCTGCCATGTGTTCGTTGTGAGATATTCTTTGTGGCGTCTCTTCCTTCTTCCTAGAACCGGTGTACACATTTCGTCAAATATCGCCCTCAGTGAGTTCCAATGTTCTTCCACACAGGTTTCGTCAGTGATGCCACGTAGTGTGTCCGACTTTGCTCTGATACCTCTAGTGAAGATGTCGCTTGTAGTTTTATTTTTAATTTTTGGGATTTTGAACTTATATTACAGTCTGTCTCCATTTGCCTTCATGGATTTCAGGTTCCCCTTGAACTAGATGATGGTCTAAGCCCACATCTGCTCCCCTTCTCGGCTTCGTGTCCAGTAGATTGGCTGCGTCTCCACTTCCTTGAGCTATATTGAAATGAAGCCTATCTGGTTGGTGGTGTGTCTGTCAGGCGAAACCCACGTTGCTTTGTGTATATCCTTGTGCTTGTACACGCTCCCTCCGACGACCTAATCATTGAAAGCTCAGAAGTCTGAGAATAATTCTCCGTTCTCATTCATTTCTCCGAGACGCAACCTCTCGACCCATGATGAGTTCTCTTCCTGTATTATCTGCTGCAGCCATTCGTATCGCCCATAAGGATTTCGATGTCTCCATCTGGGATGTTGTTCTTTACTGCTTGTAATTGTCTGTGAAAATCCACCTTCTTCTCTTTTTCCGCGTTGTTTGTAGGTGCGTAGCACTGAATAATCCTAACCTTCTTCCTTTTGAGTTGAATCCTGCTGTCATGATCCTGGATGACACTGGTTTTCACTGCATTAGGGATTTGGCTGCCACTGGTGATATCATGATAGCCACTTCCACGGTGTTTTCGCGGTTGTCGTCTGGTTGACCGGAGTAGACTATTGACTCTCCCGTTGACAATGCCAGTTCAAATCCATTCCAATCTGCATTCTAAGATACCTAGTACTTCTAAGCCATTACTTCGCATCTCTTTGGCTATCTGGGCAGCCCTCCCAGTCTGCTATATTGTACGGACATTCCTCATACCCATTCTTATTCTTGCTTTCATCGAGAGAAGACACATCGGCTGGGTGACTGGCTTCCCGAATACTTTCTTTCGCTAGCCAGCTGTGTCATTTCGCCACTCCGGTTCGAGCGAAGAATTAGATTGTTGCTATTTGAAGTTTTTGTAATTTTAATATATTTTCTGTGTGTTGAAGTTTCTCTAGTAGTTTGAAAGATTTAGTGGTGTGAGCCAGTTGAATAGGCGTGGTTCGCCCTTTCACTGATATCCTATTTTTCTGGGCGTCCTTCATTTTACGTGACTTTTCTCAATACAATTTGATTATTCATCACATTTTTAAACACTTTGACGACCTAAACAATAAGCCTAACTAATTTTTATTTTTGTTCGACAATCCTAGTGTGCACACAGAAAAGAATCTCATATAACTGCGATTGTACAGATAAGTCAATGAATTCGCCAAAGAGAGATTCTTCGTTGAATTCTTTGTCCTTATATTCAGTTATTTTACTCAAATTAATTTTTGGTCATTGAAGCCCTATATTCTACTCGAAACCCAAGGGAATAATATTAATAATAATAATAATAATAATAATATGCAGTCGATAACCGTGGTTTCGACTGAATCAAAGCAATAATTTTTACACACAGTGAATCAGAACAAAAAATTTTTTCAGCCACTGTAAATTTATTATCTAGTTAGTTAAAACAGCTTTCAGGAAGTAACCTCCTAATAAGAATAAATTGTTTAGTTTATGTGTGCTGGCCGTGAAAATGTGGAGTAAAGCTAGGCAAAAGCATAGCTTAATAAATCTACTTAAAGCGACTGTTTTTGAGGGTCTATTCACAGTGAAACTGCCTCCAGGTGTATATAATTTTTGTGTAAACAGAGTCCCTTTGATGAAGAATGAACACTTAGTAGCAGTTGTTAGGTTAACTAGCAGTTGTAAAATAAAAATGTGAAATATAATAACTTTTGTGAATTTTCATAGATGCTGTCACTTTTAACCTGTTTCCTTTCAATAATAAACAAAATACAACACTGAAAGTAATTGTATCTTGAAGAGAAAGTAGATATATACCTGGCAAGTCTTCATTCTCTGTATTTTCTCCAAGTGACTGAATTTCACTTTTATTCTGTAACAGACTATTCTGAATAGTATTTATTTTTCGTTTACAATGACCCTCTGAACACTTGTTCCCTGAAGAAATGTAATCAAAAGATGGACATTTGCCTGCGTCTTGATTACACATATTCTCGACATTATCTCCCAATGAACGGTATTTTCTTTTCATTGCTTTATCAAAATAGGTTCTATACAATACATCCAAGGGAATATTTGAAATCTCCTCAATTACTTGGGATACGAATTCACTGAAATCTCGAGATTTTGGTTCCTGCAACAGGAAACATGTTAATCAATGAATTAAAGCACGAAAAAATATCTGTAATCATGATTAACACTGTGAAAATAATGTCGCATCATTAAATAATACCTATTAAGTTATTAACTTTCTGATTGTATATTCTCTGACGGAAATAACTCAGTTGACAATTTATTTTCTACACTAAGAGTATATCAAAATATTGTTCGCTTGAGAAGAGATGGATTTCTGGCTAGTAGTCAATACGAAACAAGCGACTGAGAGAATTCAGACTTTAATCTCAATTACTAAACAGGTCAAATGAGTTAAAAGTTTTCTGACAAAGCCACTTAAGAAAAATGAAGTAATATATTCAAATATATTTCAAAAGTTGCCTTCGATGGCTCCATACTGAAAATCAGATGGCCGAACAGAGAGAGTAGACAACAAGGAACTCTGGCAGCGAACCAACCAAGAATCTTTTGCCCAGTGAATATGTAGGAAGAAATGCAGACAGACTGGACATATGCTGAAGAGATTGTTGACTGGCATCATACACAAAAGGCCTCTCAGTAGGATCCAAATGAGACATGATGAGTTTGGAGTCCGACTGTGACATATGAAGGAGACAGTATAAGGAGGAAATGAAAGCTTGTGGGAAATCTGTGAGCCAGTTAAAATGACTGCAAAGAACACAGTGAAATGGAGCCGTGCTTTTACAGCCTTGTGTTCCACTTGGGACCCGAGGGAGTTATAGTATAATAATGCTTTAATAAATTGACAACTGACGCACTGATCGGTGAGTAAAGTCAAAATTTCAGTTTATACTGTGGTAGGACTATAAATTGAATAATTTCAAAAACAGTCAGTGAATTATCGGGTTAATAATCGGGAGGCATCTCATACGAATTCTGCAGCAATTTATGTTTCTTATTTCAGTTTCAGTCATCAATCATGATTAGTCTAAAATTCTGAAGTTAGCTCCGACTGTTTCCCAAACATAAAACAAGTAATCAATACTTGTGTTTAACATCTACTGCATTTAGTACAAAACATGTCACCAGTATGTACTTCCATAGTCTCAGTTTAATTCACTATAGTAATGTAGCACTTCCCTCTTAAGCTTTTTGTACACTGAGAGAAAATTGGCAGAAATGAAGGCAGTATAACCACAAATATAAAACCGAAAACATCGACATCACATAGAGCTAGAAAGTATTACACATTGAATGCTTATAGATAAATTATAAGGCAAATAACTGAAAATCTGTAACCTCTGAGTTTCTTCACTTCAGCCAATATTCTTTATTAGAGTTTCTGTTTAGTGGATAAATATTACAGACGTTCCAGTGAGTATATTGTAGAAAGGCTAGTAACTCTTGCCGAATGTTCAGTTAAAGGTTCTTGCACGATCTAAAAAGTACACTTCATAGTGTTTTATACATAGACTACGATCAGTACACCTTTAAGTTTGTCATAAGGTGATAATGTGGCTTTTAAGATAGAGTATCTTCCATATACTTTATTCCTATAGACTTCAACACTAAAATATTATCTATTCTTTTCGACTAGAAGCTCATATACTGACACAAGTCAGTAACTATACTTTAACATACATCCAATGGAGGCATTCAGGCTTTTAAAAAGTCAATGACCTCTGGACAATAAAAAAGGATATAATTACAGCACTTGGTGTATATCTTCTCCAGATAATATGAAAAGATATTATAGAATACATGTGATGAATGGGTGAAGACTGAAGTGCGAATACACTGGAACTTAAAGGAAAAGTAACTAAAATGCAATACTGAGTTGATTTTTAGTTACCTATCTAATGGTCAGTAATTTAGGGTCGCTCACAGCCACATATGTGACAGCTTTCCGAAACTTCTTATATAAGATATTAATCTATGAAAAATTTGATGTCTTATCCACCATTATTTAAGGCATTCTTTGATGATGGTGTTTGGTTGAGTGAGTATCTACTTTTCATCCAGTACACAGGTGATAACCACTTTAAAATAACACCGCAAATTTTTGTTCATTTATGGGCGAGTACCTGCTACTTTAACTGCGTACTTTAGTGAAAATGCCAAATAACATCGACTAATAAAAAAATGAATTGTTTGACGCAAGAGATAAATTCTAATCTCTACTTCTGTCACAGCAAAACTGCTACCAAAGTTGTCGATTATCTAGGTGAGGCATCTCTGATACAGTTGACATCTTCCGTTAAGTACAACAACATAACCAATTTTGTTAATCTTTACCCAATTGTAGTGACTGGTGTTTTTGTTCCTGTTGATGGAGTTTAATTAACTAAAAGGATAGTAAATGAAACTGCTTTAAAGTAAATAAACTTGTTGGAAAGAGGTTAAGTAATGCAGTCGAAAAACTATTTGTTGTAATCTTCTATGCTGACTACAGGAGATACGCCTTCATCAACCTGAAACCAGTTTCGAAATCTTCTGCACTCACTCAGCCAGTATAAACAACAGGATTCGGATTCTGTTCAACACAAATGTGAAGTCAGTCAGTCACTTCTTCTATATGGGTCAGAAACTTGCACTGTGTGTCACGAAAGGCATTTCCAACAAGCCATTGCAGACTTTCATCAACAGATGCCTTCAATTTCGTTCACTTCGCTGGTTGGCTGCATACTGAAGATCAACTCACCGGGCGGTCGGCCGATTTGAAACAATTACCAACAAGAAACTCCTCATTGGAACAAATCAACGGCTGAGAGCCGATTTCCAAACACATATGTAGGAGAAAATGGAGACCAATTGAACACACGCCGAGGAGACCGTCGAATGACATCGCGCGCAATGCATGTCACCCGTTGTTCGAGTGAAATCCGAATAGGAAGCGACGAGTGGGTCATCAGTATGAGGGTGGTATGGAGGAGATCCTGAATCAAGGAGGAGGAGGAGATGAGAGATTGTGGGTAATCATGGGATGAGTCAGTCGCAGAGGAGGGCAGAAGGTGGAACGAAGTGGAGATGTGTTGTTGACGCTCTATGTTCCACTCCGAACCCAAAGGATTAGAAAAAAGGAATTTATCAGGATTCTTAAACTGCAAGGAGCATAATGTTGGCTTGCTTGAAAGTTTCATTGCATGATAGCTATTCTTAGAACCACATTTTTAGTTGATAACATTTATACAACCAAATGTTAATGTACACATTGAACTACTACATCCGTTGAGGTAACTCACTATGCTTAAAAGGAAGATAAGATGGTGTCAAATCAATCACAGTTTAACTACACAAAAAAAGTCTCATCTACATTCCGCAATTCAGGTAGACAAAAGCATTCAGAAAGGTCCTACTAGTTTTTCAGCGAACAAAAACAAGTGATATTAAAAAGCTGAAAACAATAGAAAGTTTGTATTGTATGTAAAATTCAACTACAGAAACTTTTAATAAAAATTTATGCATAATTTGTTCTGCAGTTAAACAATAGTGTTTCTTAGTTCATTCATTGTTCATGTGTAATCATTATACGTTCCTCCTTGTAATCTTCATCCATGTTTTGATCTATAAATAGATAATAAAATGTATCTGCAATGTTATTTAACAAAATACATGACCTAAAATAGCCTGAGAAGTACAGACGGACTTTATCAAAAGTTGACATTGAATATAAAATTGTTTTAAAAAAATCAGAAAACTGAGAATTAAAAGCTGTTCCATACCAGATTTTTTGAGTATTCAGTCGTGTTAACCTGCCATCACAGAAGGGACTGATCACAGTGCTATTATAACGGGAGAAGAGGTAAGAGACTTGGTAAGGGACTTTTTTATTGTAACATTTTTGACCACATTTATGGTTGGCTAAGTTAGCGGATAATAAACTGTTCTAATTGGTTGTGGATTTTCTGGAGGCTAAAACTGTTCTCATTGGATACTCATTTTCTGAATATCAAACCTTGAGACTAAATCCTGACGACAGCGTAAGCTAGATCCAGACTGGAGAAATGAACACTTCTACTTCTGTAACCACTGAATTAAAATGTTGTTTTCGATTTCGGCTACTTTTCATCAATCTCCGTCTGTATACTGGTGATAATTCTTGTTAGTAGCATACGCCACATTATCAGTATTTTTAGGAGTTTAGTATTCAATCACTGAATTCGATAGTTCATTAAATTATTTCAGGTTGTGATGATGTCCTACGAGAAGACTGTTAGACTCCAATAAAGCAAAAAAGACTACACTTTATTTCATTTATATTTTAATATGTGCATTAAGAAACAATCTAGTTTTAATTGAAGTTTCACTAAGTTAGGCATTCTAAGTACTACAAAAACATGCAATTAAAATAATCATTACTACGTTCAGGTGTGCTAGTCTGAAACTAAATTAATGTACAATACAATACAAGCCTGTAGATAGAAGATGAGAAATATTACAGCCTGGCATTTTAGAATAAGTATACTTCCTGAGATTACAGTTTTCGTTACCCACACTATGCGTCACGTTTTATAATATACAGGCTTTAAGGGACCACGTATGCGTAATTTTTCGTTGTTTGTATACATATTTTATCCTATATTTTGATTTTCTATTAAGGTGTTGGTTTGCAGGGATTTGATTGGTTTCAGGATTTCATCATGAACTGACATCGATTAGAGGACCATTGGAAAACCTTCAGGGAGTACTGGAAAACTGTTTCGTCGGCCTAGTTTGAAACTCCTCATCAGTGCGCACACGCTACCAGGGTTCGAACCCAGGGCCTTCTGATTACAAGCCTAGAGAGCTAGTAGACCATTAGGCCATTGAGACCGGATTCAATGGTCCATGAATTCCATCTTCTACCAATTCACAATATGGCGCGACCACTAGCGAGTGTCATCTCTGCCGTGTATTTGTCCGCACATCAGATCCTGAAACCAATCAAATTCCTGCAAACCAACACTTGAATATATATCTGATGCTCACTAGTGACTAGCCCTATTCAGGTAGTTACCTTGTTTCTAGTGCGAAGCCGTGACCAGTGGAGTACAGCAGGTCGGCTGTGAGGACAAATACTCGCCGTTGACATTCGCTAGTAGTCGCGCCATATCATGATTTTCAATTTTCATTTGGTTGATAACTTAGTTGTATTATGCATGAGCTAATCCATCGTGTAGACTTAATGCTTAACATTCACTTCATCTGTAATCATTTCCACTGAAGATATTTCAAACATACAATAACGGATAAAATTGCTTCTTTGTTCATGGGACTACCAATTGACTAATATACATAAGAATTTTATTTCACTGTACGTAAACTGAGCACTGACAGTTAAATTAAAATTAATAGCTCACTAATTATATTCTGTGCTTGAACATGGAATAAAAACATTGAAAACGTCACTCGAAGCTTTACCGTAAGATTATTTACATACTTACGGAAGACCTTAATCTTCAGAAGGCGCAATATTTTGCAGGAACCGACTATTTTCTGTATAAGACTACTAAGGATATACATGTATTTTATATTGCTCAACAAATATGTGGGAGGAAATGAAGACGCACCGCACATACACTAAGGAGACTTTCGCAGGATATAAAAGTTCCTACCCTCAAATGGAAGTGAAATGGGAAACAATGAGTTGTATATCCATGGAGCGAAATGAAAGCTTGTAGAAGGTCGTACAGCCAGGTGAGAATGACCTCACAGGACCGACCACAGTGTCGATATGCATCTGAGAACGTGAGGAAAGAACAATAATTATATATTTTATATATCTAGGTTAGTGCAGCCAATAACCTTCCCATAGGTTCCAGGAAAGTTTTATATTTTAAGCTGGCCAGTAACTTCATTATTGCTTTTAGTTTTCCTGATTCTTTATTTTATTGACCGAAATAGTTTGGAATTTAACAACCTGAATAAACATGTGGTGACATGATTATCTGATATTTTAACTAGTTTATTTCATAAACAATATGAAAACTGTTGTCCATTATTATTAGAATTATTTTCTTTCACATAAACAAGGCGACAAAAATAATTTCAAAGTAAATGTGATTAAACAATAGCAATAGTCTTAACATTATTCACGCAATATAAAAATATTTATCAGTAAACTAAAAAACTACTATAGCGACTGTTTGCAAACAAATCAATACTATTCAGAAATACTTATAAACATTATATCTGTACTTGTAATTCAAATAATACCATTGTTAAGTATACAAAGTATTAACAAAATAATTAGTTCACACTGGTCAAGCTGAAAATTTACAAAAAATTTGCAGACATACTACAATTTAAGTCCAACACTTACAAACTGAAAGATGAAACCACAAAACACCCCTTCACAGCACGCATCAAAGCAAAGTTCGAGACACTATCTAGAATCACTAAGGAAACCCCTGCACAGAGACATTAGAACTCTCTAAAACCTATGTTCAAGGAAACCTCTTCAAGCATTCTAGGAAGCAAGAAGAGGCGAGACAAAGAATATCTCACAACGAACACATGGCAGGTAACAGAAGAGAGCAGACGAGAATGGCGAAACAGAAGGTGAACCGATGCAAAGATGGACAAGAGAAGGAGAAGCTGAGTTCAGTCTACAAAGCTATGAACATAAAATTAAAGAAGACGGCTAGGAAAGACAAAACAAAATCTTACAACACACTGGCTAGCAACTGAAGCAGAACAGGCTGCAGGCGGAAGCGACTCCAGAACACTATATCAGATAACCAGGTCTCCATCCTGGAAGAGATCAACCCAGATGCCGAAAGCCATAAGAGCTGGTTAGGGGAACTTCATTACGAAAGACTAGAGGCAAATAGAACAGTGGGTTGATTGATCACTTCAAAGGGCTCTTGAATCGACCACCACTGGCAGCTTGTCCCGAAATACCACCAACAGCACACACGGATATGCCTGTCAGTCGACAACAATCCCTCAACGAAAGCAGAGGTCTTGAATGCAATCAAGCCACTGACGTCCGAGAAGGCAGCAGGACCGGACGGAAATCCCCTGCAGCATTGAAGACGAACCCAGAGACCCGAGTGGATATGCTCACACCACTATCGCAAACCATGTAGAAGGAAGGAAAGGTGCCCACCGATTGAAAGAAAGGCTACCTTGTCAAGATAACAAAGAAGAGCTTCTGAAAAAACTGGCGCCGAATCACGCTCTTATCCATGCCAAGTGAAATACGAAGTCGAATCATCTTGCAGAGAATAAAATATGCACTGGATGCAAAACTCCGCCCCACCACCAGAATAAGCTGGATTCAGGCAAGGCAAATAATGTTCTCATCGAATTGCAACTATACACATCGTCGTCACAGAACAAAGCATAGAATGACAGTGAAATCTATCTATCTATCTATCTCAACTTCATTGCCTTCGAAAAGGCCGTCGACAGACAGTGTTGATCGAGAAGTAGTTTGGAAACTATTTCAGCACTATAGCGCGCTGTGACCAAATCTGTATCAGCCTCATTCAACCTATGGGTATATGACAATGCCGTGTGTCTGGTGATCCGCAACGGAAAACCCAGCGAGGCGTTCGAAGTGAATACAGGAGTAAGACAAGTCTGGCTGGTTGGCTGATGCCTGACTATTATCACCGATGATATTCCCAGCTGTGGTGAACTGACTGGATTAGGCGGCAGATTGTATGTGGTGAGCGAGACGACAGGAATACGCTGGACGACCGATGAGGAGACTCTAGGAGATCTGGATTTAGTGTATGGTCGTGTTTTCTGAGCGACATCTGCAATATGAAGTATTAGCTGAAGATGTCGCCTAGTAGGGCGATGAATCCTCCGTAAATGAACTATCCAGCTCAGAGAACACAACCACATCAAGAATTTGAAATGTGTTTTGGATGTCCTGTGTTTCACTCGGAACCCTAGGGAGGAATTATATTTATAATATGTCTAGCTGACATGACCCAGGCATTAAATGTTTTAGTGTGTTGATTTATCTAAATGTAGTATCAATACACAATTCCAGTGGAAGATTTAGGAACTCCGAATTCATTGCTGAGAATAAACCCTAAAGAAAGAGGTAAAAATTTTGAAATTATTTTAAGACATTAAATAAAACTTAGAAATTGGTAAATGCATTTGTAAATTTTTTCTTTAATATTATACATTTCTTTAATTTTTTTACTTCGTTGTAAAATGAACTTAATCACTTAAAAGCCGGTAAATACCACATCATGTTCTAACAACTAATTGTTGTATAATACAATCTCATCATCTAATGACGGTAGATGACATTATTTTTGTTCTAATATAAATAACTTTACGAGTAAATAATAAAATAGAAATCAGTCGCGGTGTTGTATCAATAGAGTAATAAGATTGTGCACTTAAGCATGCCAACCTGCTTGAATCATTGGTCTACCTGAATTTTCATCAGAAACAATGCATTTTATTTTCTTCAGTTTTCGTTGTTATAACCATTTAGTTATGTTCGTAAGTCGCCAAATGTAGTCATACACTTTTTTAATTGGTTTACAACCTACTGTTGCTCAAATTCTGGGGGATCAAAGGAAAACACCGCAGTGGTTCATTTTATTCTTCAGGACTAATATCACTGCGTCACATGATGTACTGAAGATGGCTATTCTACTTGAAACTCCTGGATGAAGAGTAAATATTATGCAATAAACTACGCTGAAAATTTTGCATGTTGTATTCACCTATTGTGCCTAATAAAGCTGTTATTAATACTTATTCTGCAATTAGTCATAATAGTTATAATTCTACCGATATCAAATACGAAAAAGTGGAGTGATCTGTGGTAACGAGAATAATTAAAAACAGCATGGTTAAACAAACAAATGTTGAGGTAGAAGTAGTCTATAAAGACTAAGAAGAACAAATGACCCAAGGGAAGTAAATAAACCATGTTTTAATCAAGATGTGGATGAGATTAATGGATGACAAGAGATGGATTGGAAATATAAGTGGGTGGTGGTGGTAACGTTATAATCTGGCTAAGACTTAATAGGTCACTGGTGGGATAATGGCTGTACGAACTTCTTTTGACTGTAGAGCTAAGGCTTATTAGTTTGAATACCTATCGTCTCAGCTATATGAAGTAGACGAATACAAGGTCTATGGGAAGAATTCGGTGAGATGCGATGAATCACCTTGAATGTTTTCATTATTTATTTGTAAAGTTGTGTATATGTGAGTTAAGTCAAATGAGATTTAATTAAGAACACTATTGCTCGTTTATTATTATTATTACTATTACTAAATGCTTGCTTATTATCATCTGGGGCAATAAGTTGGTGTAATTCACGCTAGATACAGTAGAATTTCTGGTTTGATTCCCTTTCGACCCACTCCTATATCTTTCCCCTTTACTAGCTGACAGTGAGTCCGGAAAAGAGGAAGAGTATGTACAGGGCTAGCAGTTCCACCCCAAATAACAACACTAACGGTGCTGAAACTTCAAATATTAAAGTCCTGTGTTCTACTCGGAACACGAGGAATGAAAAAATCCACCTATGGTTCTATTAATTCAATTTTCAGAAAAGTACGACAATAATTAAGACAATCAAACTTACCACTGTTCAGTAGAACGTCTTTTGTGTCATTTAAAGGAATTAGGTTGGGACTGACTATCTCATTCATCTACAAAGAAAATGTGTTGTCAATGTAGAAAGGCATACCTTCTTTGATTGTAGACTGCTCTTCTTATGACCAGTGGGATTTTTGTTGAAGGGTTTTCGTTCGCTTACCTTTTTAATCTTTTTCCTCTAAAAGAAAGATATGACATATTTCAAAGTGGGTGATTATTGAGAACCAGTGAAAAACAAAAGAAATTAGACACATTTCGACCAGGTCCAGGACACTAGCAGTACTCGTTTACAAATAGTAAATTAATCAATCCAGAGAACATCCGACTTAGAAGATAATATGTTATAATTGAATCACTGTGTCGAAATCTTACAATCCAGAGTTTCCTACTATAACTTTAGAACTCTATATGAATATCTACTGAAAATCAACCTATTTTTCTAGATTGATTTATCATGGGAGGATAACCAATTTTATGTCATAAGACTGAGAGTGCGGTGTTAATGTCATTGATCAAATTTGAGAGATTCGTTATCATGCTTTCGCGCTTTGACTGATGTAATAAAGTTGGATGGAATTCACAGGAAGTATTTAATTTCAGAATAGTACTTGTTGAGACAGTTCAGAAAGGTAATATCTACGTGTTAAAAAGATCTAAACCCCATGAGAATGAACAAACAGTTATTCATTTTTTTTCATTCCTTCACGTTCCCAGTGGAAGATAGGGCTTCAAGCTATAGGCCTGAAGTTCCTGTAGCAGTGTTTATATTTGCAGGATGGGGTTGCTAGCCTTATGCTCAACCGTTCCTCTTTACCAGCTTTTTTATTACTGACTTGGTGAGTTAAATGAGTGCGTCCAGTGGCCAGGAATCGAACCCCGGACTACATGCGTGGTCGGTGAGCATTCTACCGCTGTGCCACCGATCACGTTATTCACTTACTTCACTGGAATATAGCATTTCATAATTGAACAACTCATTTGATAAAACAACAGATTGAGCGAAGAAATATATTCCTTTCAATAACCTCCTCAACTTCAGACGCCTCTTCACCAATATATCGTTTATCGCATCAAGATTTTATTTTTACGAATCTAGTGGTAATTTTAGTTAGTCTGTTTTGGGTATATCTCGAAAAATACCCATTTATTCATAAGTAAAAACACAGTTTTTGTTCAGCGAAGAAATTTCTTTTCAACGACTTCATTTTCAAGCTGTACAGCCGTATTTATATTACAGAAAAAGGTTATTAAGTGGCACTAAATAATTGGTCAGTCAATATACGTATATATGTGATAAAAGTTATAAGGGGTAGAGTTGAAGTGGATAAATTACAAAAATATTAAAGATTGTTTTATAACAAAAGTGTCAAGTGTTGTCTAAAAATTTTGAAAATTAGGAGTACGATTACGGTAAGAATGAAGATGTGAAGTGAAGTGGAAAGAATTCAAGTGGTAAAATAAAATAAAAACTAGAAAGAACATTATTAGGACCAAGGTAAAGAAAGGGGTTTGACAAAACGCTTTTGAACACATAATTTAGGTTTCTGTTCATGTATAGCTAAAGCTTCGGCTATGAAGTCGTTGAAAAGAAATTTCTTCGCTGAACAAAAACTGTGTTTATGTATAGGCGGACAGGGGTGAAATTAAGAGGTTAAAAGTCATCAAGACAATTAATTAATAGATTTTAGCAACCAGATATCTAAATTTTGAAGGAGGGAGGAATGAAAATTAATCACGGAATTCAAGCTCAGTTATTGCTTAGGCGTTAGCAACAAGTTATTACAAACATTCCAATTTCGTTGAAATTTTACAAAAGTTGTGACATAATCAAGAAATTTGTAAAATAGCAGTGATGACTATTAAGAATAGGATGACTCAGAAGAATTACGTCAAATACAAACAAACAAGTTAATCGAATTAGCTAGAATTGTAAAAATTAACAAAGTCAAAAGACAGTTATAAAAAAATCGTTTTAAAAACTTAATACATATTATGTACTAGAAAAAAGGGGAAAAGATTCAGCCAACATATATCAAATCTTGATATTTCCCCCTAACAGTGATTAAAATATCTGCTTCCACGGAGCTTAAATATTTCTCACCTCGTGTATATTTTCATTTTCGTTTTCTGAATATGGATAACCATAGGTATAAATACGTTCCTGAATAAGCAGAAAACAAAAGTTAGATTAATTTAAAGAATTCATTTGTAATCTGTAGTCCTATCCGGCAGCCGGCTTAAATTACTGAGCTACCAGAGTTTCCATTCATTAAAATGCTTAAACTCTTCTGCACTTCTTATTGTTTTATTCGTGCAGTTATACCAAATGACCAGTACATGAACTCGTACGCATATTTAATTAGTTTCCCACTATACGCTGTGCAACTGAAGAAAAAATGTATAGACATGGTTCTGTCCTGATATGCAGCAACACAACTACAAATGATGTAGTTCAAATTATTATTTTACATGTAAATTCTGTTTGAAGAGGAAATATTTTGGAACTAAAGACGCTGAAAATTTCTGTAATATATGTTCACATTATTGTTTGAAATAGAGCCTAATGATTATTATTTTAAAAAATAATTCACATGAACAAATATTTTTCTGGAAGGTATTTAAAAGTAACTCTGAAGATTTCATTAGTAAACTTCTTTATGGCACATCTGAACTAGCAGTAAAAAAGTTCAAATGGACCTGTATAAGGTATAGGAAATCCCCATAAGAAGTAACTGAGGTCACTATGTTCTATCGAAAGTACACGTCAGCTTGGATTATCAGTTGTATAACTGTAAAATACAAAAAAGATTTTCATACAACCAGTTCTCTTGATTATTTTGAACTAAGAAAGAAGGCATATAATACGAGCTCATCTTATTTGGTAGATTTTCTTCAGCTGCGTAGTACATCCTAGACAATATCAAAATATAAATTACAAAATCTCTGAATTTCGCTCCTCCCCCTTCTTGTCTAATTATCCTACAAATATTTCGCCTTTTAACACTAAATAATTTGTTTACTTACACCATTTTGAAATTATATTCCCCACACTTTTTACCCATAGCTCGACGTCACTGCATGAAAAGTGTATTCAAAAGAAATTTGTAATTTATATTCTGATATTATTTGGGATGTACGCAGTTGAAGAGAATCCACGAAGTAAAAAGTCTGTATTATCCTGCAAATATCTTTGCTCAATACAAGGGAGATATTACGTGACGGTTTGTATTCCAATTGTTAGAAGTGGTTCAGCAGCTGTCCAGTTATATAACTTAAGAGAGTCACTACACTTCATTGCACAAGTGTGTTTTCAGTACTACGGTTATTTTATAACCCACCCTTGAAAGCTCTTGCCAAATTTTCACCTAACAGTTGGGATTTGTAACACATGAAATTAAATAAAAACGATTGAAATGGGTTTTTATTACGAATGTAACTTTCTGTATTCTACACATATTTTTCTGTCATCCTCTATTACCAATTCCTTAGCTTTTTAATTCATTTGAGAATTTCATAGTTATTGTGACATAATCTTACCTCCAAAGACATATGTGAAGCCTTTTCAATTTCTTCAATAGATCTTCTCAGTGCATGATAAAACCGTGAACTCTAAAAGAAGCGAAATTTACATGTTGTAATAAGTTTTTCAAAACTTGGTGAAAATTGTCCAAAAGTCCAGTAATGTATGGCTGGCAGCATGATATTAAAATTCAATAAGAATGATAGTTTGTTTGTTGAAAAAATGCCTAGAAATAAAGCAGTTCGACTTTTTGGCTTACACGCTTTTATTATAAATTATTTAAATTAATCCCAGTGTGTTAAGAAAATCAAAACAAGATTTTTCTGAACGTTTCGCTGTGCCAGCCACAGCTTCTTCAGCAGATTTATTCGGATTTTTTATTCATCATCTAAATATATAGTCAAAATTTTTTACATAAATTGAAGTCAGTTTATTTGAAGGTCATTTCATCATGGACATTTTTTACCAATAGAAGTATGTAAGCAGTCCTCAAATATATTTGTAATGACTAATGTCAAATGCGTACTGCCGATGATTCCCAAACTAGGATGAAACAGTAGCTGTCCAGTACTCCCTGGTTTTCAATGGTTCTCTAACTGATATCAATCCGTGATCAACTCGTAATACTGTCAAATTGTTATTGTGTATATTTTTCTATAGTTGATGCATACTCACACGCATACAAATCTAATTTTTACAAATCACCTATAGAAAAATATACACAATAACAATTTGACATTAGTCATTACAAATATATTTGAGGACCGCTTACATACTTCTATTGGTAAAAAATGTCCATGATGAAATGACCTTCAAATAAACTGACTTCAATTTATGTAAAAAATTTTGACTATATATTTAGATGATGAATAAAAAATCCGAATAAATCTGCTGAAGAAGCTGTGGCTGGCACAGCGAAACGTTCAGAAAAATCTTGTTTTGATTTTCTTAACACACTGGGATTAATTTAAATAATTCATAATGAATGAATCTGATTCGGCCCTCAAATTATTCCAGGAAGTTCGTAACACCTGCGGTCTGAAAACCTATAATCTTACACGCTTTTACTTTCAACTGACGGGCTCAGTTCTAAATTTTTTGCCTAATTAGCTTTGAAGTAAGAAACAAAGTAGTATTATGTGTCCACATAGGTGACAACTCTCATATAACATGTGACATATGAGTTGGGACATAGCCCACGATACATCTAATGAGGTTGGGGTGTGATATAAATATAGGCCTAATTTTCTACATGTCATTTTACATGTCTGTTTGTACTTCTCTCAAACCACTTATTGATTTTTGACCCGACTTTCTCTCACCCTACTTATGACCTTTGAAGTCCTATTGGTTGTTCACTGTTTAATTTATCAATGAATTTTTTTTGTTTATTTACAGCTTGATTTCACACTGTATTTTTGGTACAAGTATGGAATTTTCAGCATGGATATCGGTAGCCCGAATTTCGCAGGCCGACCATAGATATCAGATGTGCGTCGGTGCGGGCTCGAACCCCGGACCATGTTCATGGTCGGCGAGAGTCCTAACCACTGTGCCTCTCATGGTCCAGTCTTTTCTTCTATCTTTGCGCGCGTGCGGTATCATTGTTATTGTTGTTGACGTGCGATTAGGACAGATTAACCAGTGCACTAAGTAACTATTCGCCCATGGTCTACTAGATCGTAGTTTCAGTCGTAACAAGGTTGCATTAGACTTCCGTTTTAAATAAATGAATAAATAAATAATTTTTATTTATTTATCACATTTAGACAAAATAAGTATTAGCACAGATATATCCTACTATTTTAAGAAGTTGGGTAAGGAACTTAAAGGTTAGGTGGTAAGACAACACTTCATATTGATCACATTTCCCTAATTTAAAACTGTGAATATAAATTTTCAAAAGGCTAATTTACAAACACTAAATGAGAACTCAGAAATGAGATACTAATAAAAATAATACTAGTAGTCATTTGCCTTATTCCAAAATACACCATGTCACCCTAGCGCCGACGAGCCATTCGTCACTTCCCATTCCATTGGAATTCCACTCGAACGAGGGATGGCATGCATTGCACGCTGTTATTCGACGGAATTCGCAGTGGCGTATGCCCGATCAACCCATCTCCATTTCCTTCGACATATTTGTTGAGCGATCGACTCTTGATTGATTCTTTCCAGGCTAGAGTTTCATGTTGGTAATTGTTTCTAATCGGCCGACCGCCCGGTGAGTTGATCTTCAGTATGCAGCCAACCAGCGAAGTGAACGAAATTGAAGACATCTGTTGATGAGAGTCTGCAATGGCTTGTTGGAAATGCCTTTCGTGACACACAGTGCAAGTTTCTGACCCATATAGAAGAAGTGACTGACTGACTTCACATTTGTGTTGAACAGAATCCGAATCTTGTTGTTTATACTGGCTGAGTGAGTGCAGACGATTTCGAAACTGGTTTCAGGTTGATGAAGGTGTGTCTTGTCTTCCCGACTGTGGCTGTCTGACTGGCTTTGACATCTTCATCCGATCACCTAACCTGCAGTTGAAACGATGTTGACTTTGTGGACAAGGGAAGGAAGTGACGGCATTCAAATTTATTCTGTTGATTGTGATTGATGCTGGTTGTTGTTGATTGGCTATCTTTATCACCTCCGTCTTCTCTATGTTCACATTAAGTCCTGTCACAATGTTTTCTAGCTCATCCAATAAACCGGAAGTTACCTTTAGCCGTTCTGTTGAGATTTACACGTCCTGTAACCTTCACCGAGCATCTTCTTATATTCATATCAGTTTGACAAACGACGGCCATCTTCTTTTGTCACTAGTAGTTAGTCTGAGTCGTTTGGATATATATATATATATATATATATATATATATATATATATATATATATATATATATTACATTTACACAGGCAGTTCAAGTTAAAAAATAATAAATAAATGTTCAATTATACAATGGGATGAGAGATGCATAGTGACTAATAAGTTAGGTAACAATGTACTGAGTTGAACTCAAATCATAGAAACAAGAGACAAACAAAATTACAGAATATAAAGAGGGTGAGGTTAAAGACAAAGATTACGCAATCAGATGGGAGAAAAAAGACATCCAGTTACCAAGGCAAGGAAAGACTAATAACTGATTCTTTCTGAACACATAGATCTGGTTTCAAGCGTTTGATAGAAATTGCTTCGGCAAACTTGAGGAGAATGGAGCTCCTTTGTCTATTGATAATTTTGAAGGATTTCTCGATTTCCACCTCATGACCCGTGTCGAGGAGATGTCTGGTAATAGCGCTGCTATAAGAGTTTGTTCCCTTGAGACGTAGGCTTTTCGGCACATGTTCAGAAAATCGGAGGTGTGCCCTTCTTTCTGTTCTCCCAATGTAACTGCTCCCGCAGATACACGTAAATTTGTATACACAGTTGGAGTTAACATGAGAAGGGTATCTATCGACTTTTGACTGCACCAAAGAGCATGTTGTTCGGTGGACGGGAACCAACTTAGCTGCAGGATAGGCTCTGGCTAGTGACGTCCTCAGTCTTCTGTTGACCATTTCTGCAATGTCTTCACCTTTAAAGTCTAGTTGAATGAAGACAGGCTTTTTTTCGACTGTGATTTGTTTGGTATTTGGGCCTTCACATCTTCCATATTTGTTAATGAATTTTTGAGTATAGCCGTTGTTTTTCAGCACCTTTTCGAGATTCGTGAATTCTTCCTCTAGTTTCTCTGCAGAGCATATTCTCCTCGCTCTATAGTACAGAGTCTTGACTAGTGCTCGTTTATAGCTATTTGGACAAAAACTATTAAAATGTAAGTATTGTCCATTCCATGTGGGCTTTCGGTAGATTGACCTCTGGAGGCTACCATCTTCTAGGCGTTTTATGGCGACGTCAAGGAAATGGAACTGTCCATCATTTTCATGTTCCATAGTAAATACAATATTTGTATGTGCGTTGTTGAATAGTCTGAGTAGGTAGGAGGCATGACTTTCGTTGTTGCATACTACAAATGTGTCATCGACATATCGACAATAGGAAGTTGTTTGATCAATTGCATGCTTCAGCTTTGTTTTCTCAAGGTTTGACATAAAGATATCTGCTAAAACAGGGCTAAGTGGACTGCCCATAGCTACACCATCTATTTGTCGGTAAAGAGTGTTGTCAAACTGGAATTGTACACCCATGGTACACATTAGCAGTAGGCGTTTGAATTCCGGCTCTGGTAGTGGGAGAAGATCAGACTGTCACTTTGCATCTCTCATCTGATTGTGTAATTTTGTCTTTAACCTCACCCTCTTTCATATTCTGTAATTTTGTTTGTCTTTTGTTTCTATGATTTGAGTTCAACTCAGTACATTGTTACCTAACTTATTAGTCACTATGCATCCAACGCACATCCCTTACCATTATATGCATACATTTATTTATTATTTTTTAACTTGAACTGCCTGTGTAAAAACTATATAAGCGCAATTTTCTGAGCACTGTTTACTAGTTGTGAAACTTTCTGTCAACATGTAAAATTTGCAAGTACGTTAAAACGTTTCTGTACATAAACCTGAAAATTTATTTAGGCTGTAAGCAGCTGACGAGAAGCCAACGAAATAAATGATGGTACCATGTTATTCTGCACAAATCAATGTTGTTCTCGCCTTATTCAAAGATACCTTTTGGGCAAAAGTTCGACACAGATTAAGCCAGTGAAGGATGACAATGGAAAGTCAATCACCAAAGAGGTGGCGCAGAGAGAACACTGGGCTGAACACTTCAAAAGACTTCTAAATCATCCGCCACCTACAACGCGCCCAAAAATGCCACCGACGGAAGCAGAACTACCAGTGAACATTGACCCCTCTACGAAATCAGAAGTTCTGAATGCCATCAAGATGCTAAAATCTGGAAAAGTAGCGGGACCAGATGGAATCCCAGAAGAAGCTTTGAAAATAGACCCAGAGACAACAGCGGACTTGATGACGCCACTGCTGGAGAAAGCGTGGAAAGAGGGTAAAGTACCCGAGGATTGGAAGAAAGGATACTTATTCAAACTGCCAAAGAAAGGAGACTTGAGTCAATGTAAAAACTGGTGCGGAATTATCCTCCTGTCCATCCCAAGCAAAATACTAAGCCGAATCATCCTGGAGAGAATCAAACAAACCCTGGATCAAAAACTTCGTCCGGAATAGGCTGAATTCAGGAGAAACAAGTCATGTATTGAACAAATCATCACACTACAGATCATCATTGAACAAAGCTTGGAATGGCAGTCACCTATCTATCTCAACTTCGTCGACTTTGAAAAGGCCTTCGACAGCGTCGATAGAGAGGTGATTTGGCAACTACTTCGCTACTACGGGGTCCCATCGACAATTATACATCTCATCCAACAGCTATACGACAATGCTGCATGCCAAGTAATCCACAGCGGGAAACTTACGGAAGCCTTTGAAATGAAGACGGGAGTGCGACAAGGCTGTCTACTATCGCCAATAATCTTCCTGATTGCACTAGATTGGATAATACGACAGACTGCGGGCAACAAGGAAACAGGCATAAAATGGACCCACACAAAAAACTTGGAGGATCTGGACTTCGCCGGTGATATATGTCTGATTTCCCACAAACTGGAAGATATGCACGTGAAAAGCAACAAGTTAGCGATAGAAGAAGCATCCACAGAAGATAGGACTTCACGTGAACATAGATAAAACAGAGGTGATGAAGATTCCTAGCCAACATCAACAACAACAACAACAGACAACAATCAGCATAAATTGGAGGGACCTGAAAGAAACAACCTCCTTTACCTACTTGGGATGCATCGTTTCAACTACAGGCGGACGGAACTGACGAGGATATCAAAGCCAGAATCGGAAAAGCAAGACAAGCTTTCACTACTCTTAAGTCTGTGTGGAGATCAACAGCACTCACCATCAAAAATAACATCCGGATTTTCAACTCCAATGTAAAGTCAGTGCTACTATACGGATCAGAGACTTGGCGAGTCATAAAGAGCATCTCAAACAAACTTCAGACCTTCATTAACAGCTGTCTTCGCTAAATACTCAAGATCAGATGGCCAACCAGAAAAGATCAGCAACAGGGATCTCTGGGAGCGAACCAATCAGGAACCGATTGTGAAACAAATAGGCAGGAAGAAATGGAGATGGATTGGCCATACTCTGAGGAAACCATCAAGTGACATCACATCATCATTTACCAGTGAGCATCAAATTAGTTTTCAAGTACTTTTCTGCATTGATTTGATTGATTTGAAGTTCGGTCATGGACTGACATCAGCCAGATAACTGCTGAAAACCGAAAATTACTGGATGCCTGTTTCGCCCTAGTTTGCGACTGGTCAACGGTATGTATGGACGCCATAAGAGTCTGAATAACTGCAGGAAGACACTGTCTGGAGTTCTGGCGAGAAATCGTAACTAGTGAGGTCCACCGGACCAGGTGTGGTGACAAATATTCTCCGATAACATTAATTAGTGGTAGCGTTTTAATTCGCTAATTGTTAGAATTTAAAATTCATATGCTATTGGATTCTTTCCCAGTGGCTGGATGGTCAATAGGCTTGCCTCGTCACCCAAAAATCCTGGGTTCGATTCCCGGTAGAGTTATGCGCGCCTGCTGCTGATAGCCTCCAAACTATAACGAAACAGCTGTCCAGCAGTCCCTATTTTTCAATGATACACTAACTGGTACCAATCTGTGATTACAACTTGAAATCAGATAAATCCCTTTGAACCAAGAATTTTTCTCATCTGATTTCAGTGAATTATGAGAACCTTTACATTACTGTGTTCTTTACCTGAGGGTGGCTGCGTTTATACTAAGATGTATGTTTTATGAATAGAAGTATTTTTTACATACAACAGAGATACTCTGATTGGACACTAGTCAGTGATTAGTGTAGTATGTCGAGTATTTTGTTTGGTGCAAAATAACCCAGTGGTAACGTTTTGGATTACAGCGCTGGTTGACGTAGGTTCGAATATCAGAAGGGACATAAGTTCCTTCAAGGCTTCAGATACGCCTTGCTGACGAATGCCAACTAGAGCGAAAACTAGGTTGAACAAGGTTTCCTGCCGATTGCTTGCAACCATCTAATACAATAGTCATGCACATTTTCATGCCCGATGTGACAATACTTGTTTTCTAAAGATATTTTAATATCACGAAAGGATACAAATGCTTCAGTAGCCATGCGTTAAATACTGAATTTCACTTTTTTATACCTCACCTTCGATATCTTTTCCTCTCCATCATATGAATACTTTCTAATCCGATTAGCCCTGATAGACTGACGAGTGACTAAATTTGGATCCAGAAAAACAACAGAATAACGAGTCACCTCTCTAGTCTCTTCATCAAATTCAGCAAATCGACCTGTTGCATCACAGTCTATCATAGCTGGCCATTCAGGATAACCTAAACAGGTAAAAATGAACAGTTAGAAATATAAATTAAGAGCGAAACCTCTTCTGTGAAATGCAAAAATTTATCTATCTTACTGCTTCCTCACACTCACGAAAACAGTTAAATGATATTGTGTTTTTTAAAATAGTACTACAGATGAAGCAAATTATATCAGAATAATTTTCATCACAACCAAAAAACATCCATAAAAACACTAGGCACCATGATGCCTTTTACAACTAGTGAGTCCATTTGGCATCAAGTACTATTATATTAGGGTTATTACTACTGACCAACAAGGTTGGAATTTAATACAAATACCATATAGAAGTTAGAAGACACAATTACATCATTCATGGCGAATTTAAATGAGTTCATTTTACGCTGAAACCTGTGCTAAAGCGATGTTGTCTAGAAGGACGATAAACTAAGTCAATCTCAATTAAATCAACCAGCTCCTCAGAGAACACATTTAATTCAATCTGAATCCTTATTTATACGTATTCTCCAAAATTTAAGCACTCGACACGTTATAGAGCCAGTGAAATACATTTCAATTATTGTACCTAAATTGTGATTCCAACATTTTCATAAGTATTTCAACAGCTTAGGAACTAACCGATCAGTTATTCATGCAGCTGTTAGACTGGCACTTAAGATGGCACAATTACGTCACTTTCGTCATGCATTTAACACGGCCTAAACATGTGATAAATACTGTATGTATAATTACTATAATTACTTTTGAAAGAACTTACTTTAATAATATTTGTACTGCTATATAAAAACTGTTTACGAATAGAAAGGCATAAAAATACAGACTGAAGTTAACATATTCTCAGGCTCTATTCAAATGCATATATGCACAAACTTTTGAATAGTTTAACAGTAGATCAATTAGTTTTATTTGAAAATACTCTACAATAGAGTAAAGTAAACAACCCCTAAGTAATCAAAATAAAAATAAGAGCCTTTTTCCTTTACTGAGTGCATGATTTACCATCTAATTTAGCCCATACTAATGAGCCAGCAGTAAACTTTGTATAGACGTATGAATTGGAAATTTCATCGGTTTCCAATGCTTGTTGTGGTTCATCACAAGGATTTATTGCATAAACGTTAGCTTCAGTTTGTGATTTCTCAGTAGTTTTATATTTCTGCTGAAGTCCACAATGCCAAGATTCAATAAGAAGGCTTGGATCTAAAATTTCTTCTAAAAACCTCCATTTTAAACACAATACACATTCAACCCATGTACCTGTAAAATCAAAAATGGAAAATGTTTTAGCTGCTTCATAAATGATAATAATGTAATGGGACTTACTTACGCATGCGAATACTCATCAACACAGGTAAAATATTTTGTCACACTTGGTCATTCAAACAGCAAAAGACTAATCCTATAAGTCTAGATTGGTCATATGAATTGGCTTTTTCAAATGGTGACCAGCATAAGTTGAAGATATAGAAACAAATAAGTCATTTAAAGGTGTTCTTGATGATGAAACGAAGACAGTCAGCAAAACTAAGTCACCTATCGGTTTATTCAACCGAACCACTAAAAAACTATCAATGTGTATTCTTCAGAATATACACTTGACTAAAGTAGTAATCACTTTATTTTTGCTGAGCTACTAAATTTCGTAATTCAGTGTCGAGATACCTTCAGTTCAAACTATTTACAACACCTTTTCATGAACTCTCACTTATTTATGAGTTTAGAGTCGCTTAAATAGGTTTGTTTTGTGTATAAAACATTTCTATGAGCCAGAAAATAATAACTTTACAAAGCATTAACAAGCAGTATATCTCAAGCTGACAATTAAATAGTAAATAATATTAATTTTCAAGAGTTGATTTGCAAGGATTTCATTTGTTTTTCGAGTTAGACCAAGGAGTGATATCAGTCAGAGAAGCGTTGAAAACCATGATCTGGGTTCGAAATCCAGTGGGTGCGTTCTGTCCCAAACTAAGATGAAAGTTGTCCAGTACTCCCTAGTTTTTAATGGTTCTCTCTCTCAATCCATGGGCAAACTCGAAAAACAAATGAAATCCTTACAAATCAACTCTTGAAAATAATATTAATAATAAAATATTCAAACTTATTAATCGCACTCACCGTGAACAGGTAAGTCATTCTCCTTATTGTTCACACTTGTCTCTTGTTTTCCGTCGATAAATCCATTTTCACGATTACTGCAATCTGGCAACAATTCTTGTCCAGTTGTCTCATTGTTTTGTAGTATTAGTTCACTAACTTTGTTATCTTCATCTGACTGATCTGTATTCATGAAATCATCCGTCAGACGAACAATTTGATCGTAAATTTCATCATTTGTAACACTTCCAAAATATTCTTTATAAACTTGACTAGTTGATAATGTCAGCAACCTCTTGATAGCATCATTCATTAATTGGTCTAAATTTACCTGAAATAATGTAAATTATAGTCACTGATAGTCATATCCAACCTTGAGAAAACAAAGTTGAAGCATGCAATTGACGAAACAACGATATGCCGATAACACATTTGTAGTGTGCAACAATGAAATTCAAGCTTCCTACGTACTCAGATTATTCAACGACGCACATACAAATACTGAATTAACTATGGAACATGAAAATGAGGAGAAGTTCCATTTCCTCGACCTTGCCATGTAACGCCTAGAAGATGGTAGTCTCCAGAGGTCAATTAACCGAAAGCCTACATGGAATAGATAATACCTACATTTCAATAGTTTTTGTCCAAATGGTCGGCTGTAAACGAGCACCAGAGAAGACTCGATACTATAGAGTGAGGAGAGTATGCTCTACAGAGAAATCAGAGGAAGAACTTACGATTCTCGAAAAGATGTTGGAAATCAACGGTCACCCTCATAGATTCATCAGCAAATATGGAAGATATGAAGGCTCAAACATCAAACAAATTACGGTGCGGTAAAAGCCCATCTTCATTCAACTCGATTTTAAAGGTGAAAATATTGCAGCAATATTCGACAAAAGATTGAGTACGTCACTAGCGAAAGCCAATCCTGCACCTAGGTTGGCCAGCCGGTCAGAAAGAATTAACAACAAGAAACTCCTCAGCGGAACAAACCAACAGCCGATAGCCAGTCGCTCAACAAATAAGTAGGAGGAAATGGAGATTGGTTGATCGAGCATACGTTGAGGAGGCCGTCAAATGACATCGGCCGCAATGCAGGCTACCCACTACTCGAGTGAAATTGCAATAGAATGGGAAGTGACGAGTGGTTCCTCGGTGCGAGGGTGACATAGAGGAGATCGTGTGAATTGAAGGAGGAGAAAAAGAAACTAGCAAAAGAAACCATGGAGCAATTACTAAGCAACGACGAGCACCTTCCACAACAATAAAAAATGCAACACACAAGTTGGATGGAATGCATAAACCTATGCCTAACAACATACTTCCAATTCAACGGCCAAATATATGAACAAGTTAAAGAAACACCCATGGGATCGCCAATATCAGGTTTGATTGCAGAAGCAGTGATGCAAAGTCTCAAAAACATAATTCTACCAAAGATCAAACTCAAGATTTGGATACGTTACGTCGACGACACATTTGTAATAATCAAAAGAAACGAGTTAGATAAAACACACAACTTAATTAACAACGTCTTCAATGACATCACATTCACAAGAGAAGAATATTCCGAGAACCGAATCCCATTTTTGGACGTCTTAGTCAAGCGAACAACCACAAGGAAATTAGAAAGTCAAATTTATAGAAAATCAACTAACACAGACCAAATCCTGAATTACAACAGCAACAATCCAATAACACACAGAAGGAATTGCATACAAACACTATTCAAGAGGGCAAGGACTCATTGCAGCACGCCCACCTTAAGGAAAATTGGAGAAAAATATCTCATGGACGTCTTCCAAAAGAATGGATATCCACGGAACTGCATCAAAAGACATATACCCCCAAGTCAACCTATCAAACCAAAAGCCGCCAGGGAAACCACAAAGAAAATCGCCTTACCGTATATAGAGGATATCTCAGAAATCACTTCAAGACTCTTCAAACTTCTAGGAACTGACGTCGTACACAAACCAACAAAGTCACTTCACTCAATTCTATGTCAACCAAAAGACTCAACAACGAAAGAAGATAAAACCAACACCATCTACAAAATAAACTGTAACAACTGCGAAAAACACTACATTGGCCAAAGTGGACGTCCCCTTCGTCTTCGTATCCACGAACATAAGCTAGCCGTCAAAAGACATGATATCTACTCCATCGCTGACATCACTACATACAGACAACCACGGACATCGATTCGACTGGGACAACGTTCAAATATTAGACAGAGGAAACAACAAGAATGGTAGAGAATTTTTAGAAGCTTGGCATTCCGGTGAATTATCAATCAATAGACACATCGAGATAGACAAAATTTATCAACCGATAAGAAAGAAACCTCACACACAAAGGGTCAAAGTTCAAGTCAAAGAAACAATCAGTTCCAATACAAGTAACCTAGAAGGTGTAGAAACACACAAAAACAACCAATCACGTCCAAGGTCACCAGGAGAGATGACTAATAAACTCGTAGAGAAATCTAAAGGCTCACTACAAATTGAAGTATGCGCTGAAGATGTCGCCTAGTAGGACAATGAAAGCTTCGCAAATTAACTACCCAGCTCAGAGAACACAACCACATCAAAAACACTTACATGAATTTACCCTTGTGCGTCGGTGGCACAGTGGTTAGGACTCTCGCCGACCATGCACATGGTCCGAGGTTCGATCCCCTGCCGACGCACATCTGATATCTATGGTCAGCCCGCAAAATTTGGGTTACCGATATCCATGCTAAAAATTCCATACTTTTACCAAAAATACAGTGTGGAATCAGGCTGTAATCAAAAATAAATAAAGTTATTGTGATTATGATCAATTTGATTTTTACTCACCAGTTCACGTACTTATTTCTTTCAACCACAATGGTTTCAAGTATGCATGCACAAAACTTTATCAGAAAAATGAAAAGCCTAACAAGAAACTATCGAAAAGAGGAATAATCGATGTACAAAAGTGAACGGATAGGCACATTCAAGAAATACGTTTCACGGAGCGTTTGTCACTTTGCAGAATGACAGCCACTGATCACGATTCCGAACAATATCTGGTAATATCTTAAGCCATTCAGTAACATTCTATAACATCCACAAGCGATTCACAATAAATTAGCGAATACACAAACATGCACATACAACTTTGTTCCAAATAATTTTTAGTGTCCATTGTCAAGAGTGAATACACTCAAGGGTTACTATAATGCCTTCAAGAGTACCTTCCTTCTCAATACACCAATATATTTGAAGTAATATTAATCAGGCAATTTGTTTTTTTATTCAAACTGAATACCGAAACTCAATGAGCCCATAAGAAACCCCATTTGATCCTTAAGTCGAAAATCTGTCACCGTTTCATAGTTCACTAAAGAATCCAAATGGTTCCATGAAAAAACGAAAGATACATCGCTAGGAAATATGACCATTTATGAAAACCTCCTAAAAATCTCAACAAAAGCACCTACACATAAATCATCATCATCGACCATCAATTTATCTAATACTTCCTCACGTGTCTCAAGAGTGGCATTATTTTGTTGTACAGATGAATCGTGTCTTAGCCTTTCATTGAGTGATGGTAATAAATATTTATCATATAGTGCTTCGACAGTTTCACCTTCCGTTTGACGTAGCACATTGGTTATAAAGTCATCTAAGTTCATCACCTTCTCAACTGAAGTATTATCTAATGACTGAAAAAGACAGATAACAGAAAATGTAAAGCAAGAAATGTTAACATGTTTGTATGTACCAGAGTTTATATTAAAGTTCGATTCCAGCCTGTCATTTGTCTTAATGCGAGTACAAATATAGAAATCCGATTATCACTTCTCACCTTGTCAGATGATTTTATTCAATTTTGTTTAAAACTAAATTTGTAAACATTTTTGTCAATTTAATCAGAGCAGAGGCGGTAAACAATCGAAAACTTAGGAAACAATTCAAAATTAGAAATTGTCGAAGTCATCACGCTTCTATATACAAATTGAGGAGGTATTCAATAAATTCAGAATAGACAGTAGACAAAAAAGATAAAATCAATGAAATGGTAGAAAGAATAATAGTCCTAACTATGCAAAGAAAGTCCCGTGTCGTTGGCTCAGTGGTAGAATTCTCGTCAGCCATGCAAGTGAAAGCGTATCGCCACGCTTCTGTCATTACGCTAGATTCATATTAAAATGTGCTGTCATTCTAAATAAAATAGAATTTTATAATGAAGTTCTAGTAAGAAATAATAAACCGAATAAGATTTAATTAGGATGACATATAAGTAGTGCGTCGGTGGCATAGCGGTTAGGACGCTCGCCGACCATGCACATGGTCCGGGATTCGATCCCCGGCCGACGCACTCCTTTACCTCGCTAAGCCAGAAATAATGCTGGTGAAGAGGAAAGGTTGGGTATGAGGCTAGCAACACTGATACAGAAACTTCAAGCCACTAGCTTGAAGCCCTATGTTCCACTGGGAACGTGAAGGAAAAAACAACATATAAGTAGTTTAATTTGATCTGTTTCGGGAGGCAATGGTAAATGACTTCTGGCCAGCAAACTTTCCTGGGGAAAGGAATACGAGGTACTGGGTGACACGAATGAATAAATGTAACCAAAGAGGAACTGAAAGGTGACACATACTACATGTGCACGTTGGATTTCATTTACAAGAACTGAAGTGATTACGATATCTCGTTTTTAATTATATTCGTTATACTTTCTTCTAATAAGTAATCCTCCCTCATCTTCACCACTGTTCATTTTACCATCGACAAGATGAATTTTAATGGCCTCAGGACTTTGAAGATGTATGGTGTAAGGAAACTCCTGAAACACTTCAGAACGACGGCATAGTTAGTAGTTATGGAAAAGTCTTCAGATTTCAAATTACTATTATAATTCAGTCCAAATGACACCCTTATTACTACTCTGTTTCCAAAAGCTGTTGACACTCTCTCCAATATTTCTAACCATTTGTTATCTGTTTTTGTAGATTTACTGTCTGCCCATGGAGTTGGTGGTTCAGCTGTAGAATGGTCGCCAACCATACACATGGTCGGGAGACCGATTCTCGGCCGACGCACTCCTAAACCTCGCTAAGCCGGTAGTAAGCCCAGTAAAGAGTGAAGGTTGGGCTTGCGTCTAGCAACCCCATCCTGTATAAATAAAAACCGCTACTGCCGAAACTTCAAAGCTCTAGTCTGAAGCCCTGTGTTCCACTCGGAATGTAAAGGAATACAAAAATATCTGCCAAAGCTGTACTTCCCATTCCTTCCTCGTGTCCGAGAAATAAGATAATATAGTCACAGCTACTAACGGTAATTAAACATTACCTGTGATTCTGACCACGATGACTGTTCACTGTTTCCACTGGATGTCTCAATTTTACCACGTGACAATGAGGATGCAGATGACGTGTTCCAACCACTCTTCAAGTTAGCTACTGTTATTGTTTTTTTCACTTTCTTAAAGGCACCAGCTACTCGTCGTTTTACAACTGAATTATTGAAACTTTTGGAAGTTTCGTTGACAGCTGACGTCATCCCTGGCGATTCAGCTTTGTTTGAGGATATTTCATTAGTTGTATCACACTGGTCTGATTCATTTGATTCACCGCCCACAGAAATCTCCGAATCATTCTTCTGTCCCTCAGAGGGCTTCTTGGTCTGAATTTTTATACCAATTCAGATAAGAGATTTTAAAGGATGAGAATCACTTAACTTCAACCAAAATTTATCGACATACCATTTTACATTAAAAATCAACTATTAAAAATTTCCATGAATTATATGAATGGATAAATCATATAAGCAACCAGGAGGGATTGGTGAGCTAGTTCATTCCAGTGTGTACCATTTTCTCAGTGTACATGCACTAGGCAGTGAGAGATTCCACTCAGAGCCGTCACACTTCACATAAGCAATGGGACCTAAATTGTATAGTTCATATTTTTTAACTTTTCCTGACTCGACACATATAGCACAAACACCAATAATTCTCATTTTTTATCTAATAATCCCACACTTGACCTCGCCTTAACGTGATCTTGTTTCTTAACAAAATCTACCTCGAAATAAACCAAAGTTTAGCATATCCAGAGTTAAAAGAGCGATTTTGTTGCTTCTCTTTATGCGCGGACCATATACTTATATCAGATTTGGAGGCAAGTTATAAGAAAGCTATGCATAAACCTTTTAATGGAATAACATAACCTTCAGATGAATTATGCCTCACAATAAGCATAACCCTGCATATCCAATTTTATTTTTCCTTAATAGTTGAATACTCTGTCAAATATCAATCACGACAATGAAGTATGCAGGATGTAATACGCTAGGCGAATAAGAGTAATTCTGCGTTGAACCAGTATCAAGCTGTGAAGACGAGGAAACAGTTAACACCTTCAATCGGTAAGTCCTGTGGCACTTTCTGTAAAACCTATTTAATACACTTTAAAAGTTTAGGATTTCAGTCTATTTACGCATTTGAGCCTTCTGTTGTAATAGGCGTTGTGTGGTTCAGAACGACTGAAATAAAACTGTGACGCTGCCTCACAAGATTCCCACTGACATGTAAGTGCAACTATTATCTAATATTATGAGGAAAGTGTTATCCTCAACATGACTCCGTGTCCTGAAATGACTCACCTAATTCCCGAGAAATATATTAGGATTCTAGCTTGAAAACTCGTTCTCCACCGCATATAAGTGTTGAAATCGGGCATATCTTGAAGATAATCTCAAAAAGGGGACTGTGGTCCAGCTGCATGAACCTCACCTACCAGGTGCTCTAGATTTGAACTAATGAGCGACGTGCATCGCCCACTAGATAATCACTCTCGATAGTGATTTGAAGTGCGTTTGAAAATTGAGCGCTATGTCTAACCTGTATATCCAGCCCCAAGCGGTAAGTGGACTTGTAGATACAGTGGAATAAGGCGAACAGTAGTTTTTCCTTCACACGCACGCCATTCTGTTGCCAACTGAAGACATTAGTCTATGACTCAACGGAGAAAAAGCTATTCTCAACAATCTGGATAGACAACTTTCCAGCATTTCAACCGCAGTACCACCTTTAAATTCAGCACTTATAAACAGAAATATGCTGGGAGGTGTGGGGCTTTTTCTGATCATTTCATTTTCATGTGTTCGTCGGTGAATCTTGTAGGATATCCACTTTGTAGGGGCACTTTCGGAGTCGTCCTAGCTCACTATGAGCTGTCTCTGGTACATATCACTCTAATTCTTGGAGATTTCTTTTTGTTCCTAGATTCATTCAAAACCATCCGCATACTGACCACTTGATGATGGCCTCCAGTACGCTGTTCTCTTGAGAAAACTATAGGATCCTCCCAACAAATATACAAGCGTGACTCCAAGTCGACCTCACAATCTCAAGTTGATCTGACTGGAATATGATAGTCATTGAACAAGATGATTATCACTTCGATGACATTAACCTTTGTGATAGATGACGTGTCTTCTATGCAGAAAAAAATCTCAACCGTCAGTAACACTCCTCTCTCTTATTGTTCAATAGTACTTTTATGCGTATTAGGAATCTAAATACCAGCGTACTTCTTCGTCAATAAGGGGAATTCCGTTCGTTGATGTAGATCCATAGTTATCTTACGTGCCAGCTGCAATTAATAGTCAAAATGCCTAATTAAACGAGTATCCATGGTGTTAACATTCTTTTTACATAACTGTCATTACAACTTACATACATTCAACTGCACTGCAGTAAACAAACTACGCTTCGAATTCGCACCTTCGTCCATTGTAATTTTCTTAATTTGTAAGGTGTAAATAATTGAACCAAAGCACTTTTATGCACTTCCAGATCATTAAGTCAGTCACTATCCAACATATGACATTTGTCATAGAAAAAAGAAACAGAGCCTTATTTTTATTGATAAGAATTTATTGTCTGTCTAATGGCCTTCTATACTATTCTTAGGTGTCAACTTCTTGTTTTAATACATTTACTCTTCTTTATGAAACTGAATAAAGCAAAACCAAAATAAAATGGTACCATCTTATTCTGCTCAAACCGTTATTTTCACTTTATTCCATCAGCTTTCTACCAAATAGTTAGTATTTCGATTATCTAGATGAAGCTTGTGTAAGGGACGTTTAGGTGATGAAATAAAAACTATATCCACGGCATGAACTGATGAAGAGTTGTTCTATATTCCAATATTATTTCAGTACAAATAATATTTTACCACGGGTAGCTAACATTCGGCCACAGTGAAAACGAGTGCAACTGTTAAGTCACCTAGTATTAATTCAGCCAGTGCAACCCTGAAACAAAAGCATTTCAGCCGTTACGACACTTTCACATCGATTTCGTGATAACCATGACTAACGGATCACCACCACTACTTTCAAAGCTCTACGAGAAAGCATTCGGTGGAGAACCTAATATCTTCCAAATGCCTTACGTACAAGTACTTCGTCTTGAAATAGGTTTTGGTTGAACAGTTACATCAATAAAGTTGCAGGACTATCACTACTGAGACCAAAAATACCTTTCATATATTATCCAATATTATTAGCAATGGAGTAAGGTTGCATTACATTTATTATGTGAGGACTGATGATAACACATGACTACTTTTGAAATGAGAGGCACAGCGCCATTTGAGACCATGACCTGCTGGACAAAAGTCAAGTATATTAAAGAATTAATTCATTAGAAAATGTGGCATTGTCTCTTTTTCGCACCGGTAGTTTAAAAATGAACACGATTCAAATAACAAGTTGGAGTGAGATACTTATTTCTACAGAAAATAAGGTTTCTCGCATATACAGGTACATGTTTTTATAGCGTATAAGTAAACTTTGATGTTATGCGATTACTATGAAGGTGTTCACCTTGCTGGATACAGTAAACAATAAAAGACAGACCGCATATCATTAAAGATATAACCTATATACATACAGTATTTCACACTAACTCTGAAATAACTAAGTGCACACGATAAAGAATTTTGTTTAGATATCACACTCGCTTTCATACTCAATTCATGCATGTGAACGCTCCACAAACAAATGTTTCCCGAAACTGCATGTCTCACTGATTTAAGCAAAACTTCGTGAGCCAACATGCGTGTAAACACAAAAAAAAGCTGAAATCAAACATTTGAAAAACTGACATCTCAATAAACTAGAAATTAGAAAAAAGGTACACAGATCTAACATTAGTAAACAAAATAACAAGAACTGAAACATAACAAGATGTAATCAGCCTCTAACTGTGACACTGAACACCTTACTCGTTTTAAAAGCATATTGATGCCTATTGAAAAAACAAAATATTTTGTACAATATTATGTTGTTTAATATAGTGATTCAATAAAACTCTGAAAAAGATATACACTTGTATTTACATCTGAAATATAAACTTATTAAGTTATTTTTTAACACATTAAAAAGGGCTTTAAAGATTTTATACGTCAAGAGTTTCTAAAACAGCGCCACTATACGCCAGATCCCAGTAGTGTTCCACATCACGCTTGCGAAATTGTTCACGTGCATACAGCTCTGTAGGACATGCTTTGAATTGTATCTTGTCAAATGCACGCTGTTTGACCGTACCCTGAAAAATAACACGCAAAATAAGTTTGTAGAATAGTTTTAGTGTTTTGATAGGTGTTAGTCAGTAACAAAATCTGCTTCACAATTCTATAGAATAACAGAAAACGAATATAGCTGTAAACGTTAATTATCCCTGGGAAAGTCTAACCACTGGTACACACCAGTAGGACGTTATTACAAGTAAACACAACTACGATAATCAAATGAAATTGCAAATAACACTTAAACATCTCTGTTGTTTCAGGTTAATGAATTTGTTTCTCGCCTTCCTGATTCTTGATTTGACATCCTCGTCCCTTCCTCCTGTAGTTGAGACAATGCCCTCTAGATAAGTGAATGAATTAACCTCTTTCAAATCCCTCCCGTTGATGGTGATTGGTGCTGGATGTCGCTGCTCTTGTTGTTGTTGTTTGGTTATTTTCAGTGGTTCTCTAACTGATGTCAGTTCATGATTAAATCCTCCATGCAACCAAACAAAATCCCTAAAAAACCAATACTTATATTTTCATAACCTCCGTTTTGTCTATGCTCACTTGGAGTCCCGCCTTTGTCGCTTCTCCGACCAGTTTGTCGGTCTTCGCTTGTAAGTCTTCGATTTTGTGTGACGACAAACACAAATCATCCACGCGCGAAATCCAGGTCTTCTAGGTTCTTCACATCGGTCCAGGATATCCCTGTCTGCTCGTTTCCCACTGTCTGACGCATAATCCAGTCAGTCCACCACAATTAGGAATATCATTGGTGATAATACGCACCCCCTGTCTGACTCCTGTGTGTTTACTGCAAACGCCTCGCTGAGTTTTTCGTTTTGGATCACTTGATATGCGCCATTGTCGTACAGCTTTTGAGTAAGGTCGATGAATATTTGGGATACGCCGTAGTACTCGAGTAGTTTCCAAATTACTAAACGGTCAACGTTGTCGAAGGCTTTCTCGAAGTCTATATATTTGAGGTGCATGTTTGATTGCCATTCCACGCCTTGTTCGATGATGATGTGTAGAGTTGCAATTTGGTCAGAACATGATTCGCCTTTCCTGAATCTAGATTGTTCTGGTCGGAGTTATGTCTCCAGTGCGTCCTTTAATCTCTCCAGGATGATGCGACTCAGAATTTTACTTGGAGCCGGTAGGAGCATGATTTCTCGCCAGTTGTTGAAGAGTGAGGCGTAAGTCTCCCTTCTTTGGTAGCTTCACAAGGTAACCTTTCCTCCAGTCAGTAGGCACCTTTCCCTCCTTCCAAACCTTTTGCAATAATAGAGGCAGCATATCTGCTGTCGTCCCTGTGCTCGCTTTCAGTGCTTCAGGGGGTATACCATCTGGTCCAGCTGCTTTTCCAGCTTTCAGAAGCTTGATTGCATTCAAGACTTCAGTTTTCGTTGGAGGATTGGTGTCAACTTGCAGTTGTGTGTGCGCTGTTGTTGGTATTTCTGGACGAGTTGCAGGCAGTGGTCGATTCAACAGTCCTTTGAAGTGATCCGCCCATTGTTTAAACTGTCTTTCTTCCTTGGTAATTGGGTATTTTAGTTACGAAATAAAATGTTACAGAAAAGAACAATTTACATACATGATCGAATTGTTGTTTTGATTTTAGTGGATCTAAAAGCTGACATTATTTCGATATAAAAACTCCTTTTAAATCGCATGACCTTTAACTATAGTGAGCTAAAAATAGGAAACGAAGAGTTCACAAACTGATTCAGTAATCAGTTTTAATTATCAGCTTACTTTCCAAATCAAACGACAACCAGGATCACTGTCTGAATCAGACGTTGTGGCAATTACTCCCCGTTTACTTTCACGCCACTTTATTCGATGAAGCATGAGACGCTGGAATTTGCGTTGTTGTTTAGGTCCACCTTCCACAACTACTACATTGCAATCGCTATGTAGTGCGACAAGTCCCGACATGAGCAACTGGCTAGCGTTAGTTTCCACCTTGAATCGATGAGATGGATTAGAAAAATCTTTCACCCTATGAAGAGAAATTTATAAAATTAAAAAAGAAATATGGCAATATCATAAAATATCACCCTCCGAAAACTTTTACAATTACCATTTTATTTACTAGACAACTGCAATGACTGCTACCATTACGTGCTGCTTCAAAACAAGATTTCTGATAGCAAGAATTTAAACAGTACATCCACACTACTTTTCACCGAATCCACTGCCAAATAAATATGCCCAAAACCCAAGCACTTAGTTCCGATTAATTACTTTGAGATACGACTGTTGTAAATAGTCACACAAGATTTTTCGGCCAATTATTAGAATAAAAGGAATGTACTGAGACTGAGACAATCTGTGGGTGACAAACAAGAAGATGCCTCAGAACTTATCGTCATGTAACTAGGAGGACATGTGATAAGGATAAGAGACACACCTCGACTTCTGAGTTATTTTCTAGAGCATTTTTATAACAACGGGGATCATTTACGTTAACCATATATTCTTTCTGTTTATTTCTGGTAGAGCTTCCGGGGAAGTGAGGTTATATGAACCAATGTGCAATTTTCCATATTACTGTTAGATGGCACTTAGTGAAGAGGAGAGTGAACTATTACTTTGTGTTGCAGGATGAACGATGGTTTGCTGTTTTTGTATCTGCTGTTGCATCGTAACCACCTAATGAGGTTCAAGAGGTTTTATGACTCAATAAGTCGTCGGATGCGGTTAAGAATTAATTCACTGATGAACATACTACGAATTCCTATCTTTTCCCCTTCCGAAAGTAATGTGAATTCATGAACGCATCTTTGAATGGACTTGATAAACAAACCTACATTTTTCATTCTACTGTTCTTAAATCACTTCACTCCCTTTTTCCATATATCATCTTTTGATTATTTCGCATGGGACAAGTTCGCACTTAAGTAAAATAAATATCCTTGAGTATGTTTACTCTGAGTTTTAACTAGTTATCATATAATTGAGGAAACTGGGCAAATTCTTTAAATCTGAGAGAATCGGCGATCGAGACCGGTTAAAATGGGTCTCATCTGACTCCTATAACCTAAGCCATATCCTGGTTAGCTCATTCCGTGCTACAGACTATACTGAGCACCATATCCAATATTTTTTAAGACAAGGGTTATTCGCATGAGGAAGCTTGTAAATATTTACTGAGTTAAAGTAGTGCTTATCAGTGTTAGAATTCTGTACAGAATCTGTACTATTGAACAAATAAAAGCGTTTGGATTAAGCAGAATGAACTGAGATTATTGTTTTTTGTTGTTATTTAGACTATCCATTCTTATTTGGTTTCAAAGTAAACAATGTGAATTAAGGACTAGGATTATGAAGTTGGTGAAGACCTTCAACAATTTTTGATGGAACAGTGGAGACAAGTCATCTGTCATATCATCGTAGCTTGAAAATATTGAACCGTATGTCGCAAACAGTTAACAAAACAACCTTTAAATATGTTAAACAATTTATGCATAAATGTACTATACAGCAAAGTAACTCTAACCAAAAACTTGAATCAAAGTAGATAAAACCTACCTATAAACCGCGACGTGAACTACATGACTAGTGTCTTCCCGGATTTTCTTTATGCGTTTATAACGGGCTTGCTCTTTTGTTAGTTTTCGAGCAGCGTTAGCAGCTTCGTGTGCACGTTTGCGAGATTCCATCTGCGCTCGTACATACGCCTCAACTTTACTTGGGTCCTGAACAGCATCTGAACCCAGAACCCTCATTAAGTTTGCCAGGCGAACCTAACAAGTGATTAAGTAAGTACTAGATACATATTTTGAACAGATACCGGAACTTGGAAAAACAGTATGGGAAATGCATATATTATTTTCAAAATTGAGGACAGTACAGTTCGCTTTGTGATAAATAAAGTTCTAGACAGTCGCACATTAGTGCTCCAGCAATTGATCTACTATGGAAGAGGACTGCTAGCTTACATAGGAAAAGATAACGCAGACTAGCGACTTGAATATTGGTCATAATCCTTAGCCTACTTGATCGCCCACCGTAAGCAGACAGCCTACCCATGACTGCGTATCGGACATAGTTTTCCGAACAATAAAAGATTTGCTCTGCAAAACACCGACGTAACCACAGCAAACAGTATTCTACTGGATCCGTATATTTACTCTCCTTGTTTGGAACTATAGTTTTGAGAGCATTCACAACATAAGGTACATGAGTTTCATTAATGTGCACTAAGAAACTAAAAAACCTGCAAGCCCCTAAATTCATAATAACTTTTCCTCAGTACTCTCGTTTATACTGTTACCATGTGAATGCAACAGGTATTTGGTGTAAATACCACTCATTAAGTTGAAGAAAAAATCCACTTAAGCAAAGGCAGTAGTTTAGATGCAAACATTCGATGACAGTAATGTGTGATTTTTCTACCAATCCAAAAGTCCACCGAATATTGGCAGTCTGACTACTGATTTCACCTATCGATAAGAATCAGCCTCTACAGTAATTACCCACTTTACAAAGAAACCTGAATGATATTCTGCACAAATCAATGTTGTTCTCGCTTTATTCAAATTTATCAAGGGGAATAAATGCATGATGATACAGGATCGCTTTTACATCAGACGTAATCAAACGTAATGATCACCGATAATGAAGGTGGATTTGTTCTAAAATTTTCATATACATCAAGTAATACAGATGTAGCACTACGATTAGACGTTTTGGCTGCCTAACGTGGCATGAGGACCGTAGGTGAGTCAGTGAATCAATTAGAAACAAATGTATTTCACACAGCAAATAAAGGACCATACCTTCGGTTCGGGAGGTGGCATTAATCCAAGTCTGACTTTTTCTTGTCTCTCCCTTTGAGCCTCCTGGCGGTTTTGACGCCTCAACTTCTTACGCTCTTTTTTCGTTAGGAGCAGAGGTATTTCTGGTGGCTTAGACAGATCAGTTGGGGGCTTCAATTTTACTGGATGTTCTACTAGACTTGTTATCCATGATTTATTTATGGCGGCAGAAACAGGAAGCCCATGTATCGCAAGCTCATCCAAAGTTGAATAACTAAACAATGCTTTCATGCAACTGGTTACCTACCTGGTCACACCTTCCTTTAAAATATAGGCATCCCACCACTCTAGTGCAGGTAGGTCAGTCTCATCGACCGAATGCTTTGGTTGAATAGTTGACAGCTTGGCTGCACTGGCTATACCTGTCTTTCTGACGGCATGCGCTACAGATTCCTGCAAAAGCTCTAGTTGGTGCTTAGTGCGCATTCTTTGTGCCATCTTGACGAATTTTCCTGGTTCGTGAAAACTAAGTGCTCGCTTAGGTCGCGCAGCAGCCTTAACCCTGACAGGAAATTAAAGTAATGTTAGGTCTTACCTAAGTCGAGGATCGAAATACGCTGTTGACACGGAAGATTTCCGCGGTTTTCTTTCGGTCGTAGTTTGAAGAACTTCTTTGAACTGCTGAGCTCGCTTCGCTCTAAGGTTGGCCTGAAGTAAATAAGCAAATTTATTCTATTCTATACTTTAAGAGTAGGTGTATAATGAGTTAGTTGTATCTCTTCTCCTGTAGCTGCATCGATAGTTTTACCTTCCTCGTCAAAAATTACACTAGCCAGTTAGTTAGTTGACAGGACTCAACTTACTTGGGAATATCCTTCGACTTCCTAGTGATTAATGATAAACACGTGTCACTATTTTACCTGGATTCATTGTTAACTGTTTGACTACTGAGGATCCCGGTATTCAGACGTGCTGCTATCTGAGCTTGTAGCTGGGCTGCTCTCCTCATTTTGTCAATAGTTTCTGTGTCAGGAATCACACCTGATGGAAAATTCAACCCATTGGCTGCACCGTTCTCGGCCTAACAGGGCCATATGAATTGAAAATAATTAAAACTTACCAGACCAAGTTCCACTTTCCGCTGGGCGATTGTTCTCTGCGCATTCGCCATCAATTCGCGAATTTTGCTCGCAGTGAGCTCCACACTGTTTAAAAGTGTTATAATTATCATAAATATGACTAACGGTGCAACGCCAGACCCCGCAGGACCAGCATTAAACGACGACATTCCTACAGATACGGCAACTTAACCTTGAAAGAACTATACGCATTCCGCACCTTCATGAGTGCATGCATTTAAACACTCACAATCTCATCCTCCTTGTCTTTATTTATGGGGAGCGCTATTATAAAGGTGGGTGAAAAAAATATTTTGGAGTTAGAGAAAAGATTAGATTTTATTGTCAAACCTGCCACCTGATAACGCGCGCACTTTGAAAATGGAGTGAATTTAACGCGAAGTGAGGATATAGGCTATGACAAGGTGTTCGCGCGCAATTTCATCAGTTACCGCATTCACGGCTACAGGCGTTATAATTGCCTATTTTTTGGAAGTAGATTATATTTGACTAGTTTTAGACTTCTGTAGGCAGATGGCAGTATTTTGCTGCATTTTGTTCTTAGTAGAGCGTAAAATTGTATTTTATAGCTCCAACGAATTAATTAATGAAAGAGTCATATTTTCTAAGAAAGTTCGCATAGAAAAACTTATTTGCATTATAGTGCGTTGAGGGTTTGTTTTTTGCGAGTTGTTTCAGATTTTAAGGTTGTAAATAGACTACAGACAATGGCTGTTGTCATTCCCGTGAATCTATGAGAATCTGGCATATGAAAGAGAAATAGCATGCAGACATAGGTTAGATGTGTGTTTTGAACATGTTAAACACTTCTGTTATCATCCGGGATGACTGAAATATTCCATAACACATCAACGACATCATGCGATGAATGAGGCAGGCTGCTGAATTTCCTGGTGATTATATCTATTTTGATGAAGTTCGTAGTAAAAAGTGCTTGGGCGAAGATGTGATAATAGTTTAATTGACATTTGCACATGGAATTTCAGAAGACCTTAATTGCTCCGTGCATGAAATGGCATTAGAGTATATTGATATCAGTGTTCATCGTGTCTCGAACAATAGTATAAATAGTCCTTCTCAAATGTCAGAGTACTTAAAATGAGTATCAGCTTTCTGTTGATTAGTAGCTAGCAGCTGTGTCATACAACTACTACACCTGTTACATAGGTTATATCAATCTTAATAATTGTTTTCTTTCACATTACTAAGATATTCTGAGATCCTTAATGACTTAATTGTGGCTATGAAAGATATGGAAGATGCACTTATGGCTCATATATTTAAAGCAGTTATTATTAAACAAGTTATCTGTAAGCAATTTGTGATGTTCTGAATACTGCAAACTGTTGATAAGAAACTGCATCAAATTGTAAGGTTGCAGATCTTTCATTTTACCTGTCACTGAAATATCACTTATCTACTTCACACTGGTCTTCTCATTTGTGCACTATTACACTACATTTTATGTTAACTGGATATGCCTTTATTAAAGCTGAGAATTACTCTTTGCGCCTATTAGTTGCTTGCTTACAGTCTAGTTGCTTTTATTATAAACACATCACCAGTGTTTGAACAAAGCCGTATTTTCATGGAAAACGTCATATTTTCTATGCTTACTCCGATATGGTTGGCATTACACATTGCAAATGTGTACTAACATTCCAAGGACATAGCACTTAGCCAAATGCACAGTGTTCATTGTGAAGGGTTTGCAATTTAACTCTTATCACCACCTGTTCTAATTACTCGTACAATGATTGAACGACTTAAACTTTTGAAGATACACTAATTTATGATACTTAACGATGTGTGTGGCAGTGAAAACCACAGAAGAATGCTGTCATGAACAAGGAATGAGAAAGGAGAATGAACCATTTTCAGCAAAGGCAGGCAAATGTAAAGCGTTTAACTTTAATATTACTTCTTTGTTTAATTTCTTGCAGATATCCGGTAACGTCAGTCAACCCGGTCACAGTGATTTGACATTGCCCAAATTATTACGACGAACAACTGCGTAAAGACATTTGCTTGTTATTATTTTTCATTAAATATATTTAACATCCTGCTTACCAGAACTTTCTTATTCTGTCTGAGTGTAGATATATTTGTCATGATGACTAGATGCAGGCACGACTCATTAATGAGACCTGACGAAGTAATTGGTGGCATAGATTAGTGTAAGGTAAATCTAACTACGAGTGCTACAGCTGAACGAATTCAATAATTTGTCTCGTGTAGACTTCAATTTACGCTACATGTTAACAGCCTTAGTCATATGGATCTACATCACGCTTTAAGTGAAACATTAGTAATGCAATACTTTAGAATACACGTAACCGTATAAGAACTGGAACTGGAATGCAGTGCCTAAGTTATGCCTACTATTGTCATTTGTCCCTAAAGACTTCTATACGATTATGGGAACTATCCACGTAACTTCCCTGAAATAATTATAATTTAACACGTATGACGACCGACATCGTTCCTACACAATTACACTTACGTATAGCTAAAGTCCTAGAGAGCACCGGTCTAGCATGCCGTGCTCACTAAGGGAACACATGAATTGAAAGACAACAAGATTGACATGAAAAGTTTATTTTAATTATGATACAAATTCAGTTTATATACATATTGAGAGTACGATTGATTCCTGCGATTACTTCTGCTGAATAATTCCTGGCAAACACTTCTCCAAATTTGTCATTAATTCTCCTGATGCCCGCATTCATAATACTTATATAGGTTTCCAATGGGGCACTTCGATTTCGAGGGACAACTGCTGACGCGCATTGAGATGCGAACAAGTTGCGTGACCACGTCCATTGTTTACAATTCTGCATCACATGGTTAACTACAAAAGGTGGAACAAAAAACCTAAAGATAACTGTGAACTGAATATTACAGGTGCAATGATGGTAGTGCTTGTGTCCTGTTTCCAATTAAGGCACACGAATGCGGTAATGAAAACTACAGCTTTCCGTATATAAGAACGTTAATTAATTAAGTTTCGGTCGACATAAATTAAAAACGGAGTCATAAAAACGCAAATATAACTGTGAAATATGGCTTTCTGAAATGGACCAAAAGCAAGTATCGGCAGGGGTACAGACAGGTCTAAAATGTAACGCACGTGTAGGTGCAAGCACTCAGATAAACATCCACACTATTCCCATTGTCAGTCACCTCTCGTAAACCGTTAATGCCCAGCTCTTGCTACGCTCGGGCTCACGCTGTTCCTTGAAGTTTTTCAGAAACGCTTAGTAATAACGGACGCAAAAACCAAAACACCGAATTGCCGCTTGGGAATTCTTTATTGTAACACCAACATATAAAAATATTTCTACTAAGGCCTGTGAACAAATATTACAATAATAAATCACGAGATTACTTCTGACGGATTTCTGCTGACTTCTTTCTGAACAGCGACCGATGAGACGATGACTGCCGTATTGATGCCTCCGCGAAAATTGGGGAAGTTGATTTTGAGCAAACAACCAAGAATTGATCGTTCAATCTTCAACTCCATTGACACCCATTGTCTTGGAAGTATACATAATTGAAGGATTCAGCCTCAACAAAAGTCCATCGTCGCCTTTCGTATTCACGGATTACCTTCCTCGCGGCGTATGGCGTCAGCAATCGTATAATTGGGATTAGACGTTGTGAACAGGGATAGGTGAAACATCGCGACTGAGCAATAATTGCCTCCTGCTGTATTCTTGAAAAACTTTGTTGATACCATTCATACACCTTCAGCATACTTTTATGCAGACTATCTGATCTTTGCAAGTACCGTTTCATTTGCTTGTGGGAGCTCTCGACGCGATTATTTGTATCATTCTCAAAAGTCAGCACGTTGTCTCTGAAACATGCTGCCCACAATTCTCGTCGATGCATCCAACGCGTTGTAGATGTTGACTGACAGTAGGATCCAATCTGCTAATAACTCTGAAATAGAAATTAAATCTGGAAAATGAGAACATTAAAGGCATTACTCTGATCTCCTTTTACACTGCACTAGACGGCATAAGTAGTTCTTCACAATGGGATTTCTTGTTTACGAATAAAATGTAAAGTATGCTTTGAAAAACTTACTTTACGACAGAATGCCCGGCAAACATGGAAAGAACACAAAACGATGTGCGCATCTGTATCGCGGTACGTTCAACGTTTGCGTTACATTTTTACGTGATTCGTTACATAAAATTTATCTTGTTGTAATACTTGCACAAGTACTATACCACTTCCATACTTGTAACCACTAACTGTTATTTCTAATAGTTATGGTTAATCAAAGTAAAAAGCGACGAACCCAATCCCCTGTAAAACTGGTGTCTAATATAACGTCCTTGATTGCTACATCAAGCAACACACCCCCTACAAACGGCTATAATGAGTCACATAACTCACTTGTATGCCGTAAGCGTCGAGCTGAAACTGAGGATAAAACTGTACTGACAGCTAGTATTAGCACTACTCCTAAAAATTCAGTACCCTCTGCTCATACAGAACCCCTCCCTTCACCTTATGTGCTTATCGAAAAACTCCAGCCATCAAGCTCTTTTTCAGTACTATCTTCAGAAATAGAACTTCTAAAGTTGTCTATAGGTGAACTTAAGGCTGAGTTAAGGGAAATAAAAAACAGTAAAAACAGTTAGTCAGTAAATGCTGGAAACATCGAAACCAATACCGAGATATCCAAATTATCAGATCAGATCAGCGATATCAGATCGCAGGTCTGTGAACTGACACCTCTAACTATCCTCATGAAAACGGTAAACCTTAACAAGCTTGACACAGAATCGGTAACTAAGGTAGATAACCTCATTAACTTTGTTACCACAGAAGTAACAAAACGACTCGACGCAAAACTGAGTGCTATTGTCTACAACGTTCCGGACAATGAGGCACTAAAAAAGGTACAGCGCATCTTACTTAGTGAAGCGAAAATGCCTAACTCCAAGACTAAGTGCTATAGGCTGAAGAAGAGTCAACATGAAAAGTGTTGTCCTATTCGTTTTCAGTTCGAAACACCGGCAGAGACCAGAAAATTCATCCACTCCCAACACACCCTATCGCAAGCCAGAAACTACAAACATATAAAGGTCGGGGTGGACAAAACAGTCATAGAAAGGCGCGCATACAACTATCTCGCTAAGACTAATTGTGAAATAGGTAATAGGACATTGCAAGCAGCCATTATTCCCAACCCTGTGAAAGATACAGTAG